CCCCTCACCGTGCCTCCCTCTCACTCTCTCTCTCTCTCGGTTTCTCTCTCAGCGCCTCCCTCTCACAGGTGCCTTCTCTCTCGGTTCCTCTCTCACAGTGCCTCCCTCTCACAGCACCCCTCCCTCTCACAGGTGCCTCCCTTCTCAGTTCCTTTCTCTCAGTGCCTCCCTCTCACAGCACCCCTCCCTCTCACAGGTGCCTCCTCTCTCGGTTCCTCTCCCACAGTGCCTCCCTCCTCTCCCCCCCCACCGTGCCTCCCTCCCAATAGTCAGAAGAGCATCTACGTATCTCTATTAACGTATCACACATCTCGCAAGAAGAGTATTGAACGTTCCTCTTTCTCTGAAATCGAGAGGTCGCGTGTCGCCGGTGTGGGAATGCAGTGCAATGCATGTGCCCTCCTCTCTTCCTTCCTTCTTTGACTCTCGGGTTGTTGTTTCAGGGACGATCGTCTCGGGCAGAACGGCGTGGATGAGATCAGGAATCAGCCGTTCTTCAGAAACGACTCGTGGACGTTCGACACAATACGAAACAGTAAGCGAGAAGGGGGGGGGGGTAGAGGAAGAGAAGGGGAGGGGAATAGAGAAAGAGAAAGAGAGAGAGAGAGAGAAGGGATTATTAACAACATTTCTAGTTATTGTNTGGGGAGAGGGTAGTCTCGTCTCCTCGGTGGACGAAAATGTTGAAGAAACGCGAACGTACTGCTACTTGTGTAGAGAAAACGGGGCATTTATAGATTTATTACTCGCCCTCCTCCCTTAGATATTTAAATGGCTGTGCGAAATATTGCAAGCCAAACTACTGAGGAGATTAGGAGGCAGTCTCTGTTTAGGGGAATTGTGTGGCATCCAACGTATTAGCGAGCCGTGTAGCCGTGATTTGCACGGTCAGTTTTGAAACTGCACGGCCAAAAATGTGTAGCACGGCCTAAAATATTGATCTAAAGTCGTGTACATTTGTAAACTTGCACTCCCAAATGTTTTTTTCTGCACTCCCACAATACTCATTCCTGGCTAATACCCTGGTGGCATATGTATAGGATATGGTGGGAGATATTATTACATTAGAGGTTATAGGTGACAGCATTGTGTCGGTGACAGAATGTGTAACAATCCGTACGGGAAGGCTGTGCGTTCGTTCTGTGAATCCCGCCGTGCATCGGGAGCGTGCTTGAAATCTTACGTGGCTCGACTTTTGACATCTTCAGGTGCTAGAACTAACGGAACAGCTGAACTGTTCGAAGGAGAGCGAGTCTAAGATAAAGAAGACCAACCATGAGCTTACCAGGGTGAGTTGCATCGCGTTATTTGGAGTTTGGTTTCCAACTCTTAAAGTGATTACGTCACCGTAAATAGTCAATATAGTAAAAAAATATTTCCACTATTTCACAAAATAATTTAGTCGGATTGAGAGAGCGAATGATCGAGAAGGGAGATTGGACATATGGCACGCAAGTCAAGCGTCATGATGGTGTGTGTACCTCATGAGTGTATCGATGCAGCCAAAAGTTGCCGTCGCTGTTTTAATTTCGTTACATTGCTGTCGTGTTCGTGTTTTTTACCCACGGCGATTCGACGTGTAGTACTGTGAACCCCACTTGTTTGGTAAACTTATAGTGTGTGGGTTGGTACTGTGGAAGATTGTGCGGAATGTTTCGGAGTGAATCTTTTATTTTGTTTGTTTTCGTGTTTTTTTTTTAGATTGTTATCGAATGCGAAGGGTGCACGAGCCATACCGGATCAGGTACGTCCATGAATTCTTGTTGCAGTGCACACTGCACATCGAATGCATGGCACGAGCTATTACCAAAGCCCCGTTGTTTTTATTTTTCTTAGCATTCGTACGTAACGCGAACGTATTTTTCGTTAGCCGTGTTGAGTCGAGATAGGTAGTGTTTCACGCAGTTGTCTGCCATTCACCCCAATGTGCAGAGGCAATGTCAGAAGTGAAATGTAGCAGTAATTGTCAGTGTAGTGCTAACTGTTAGTGTAATACTGTAGTGCTATAACTACATTGATATAACTTATAACTGTTGATATAACTACGTTTGCTATAACTACGATAATTCTCAGTATAGTGCTAACTGTTAGTGTAATAGTAATTGTGAACTTAGTGCTATAACTTAGTGTAGTGCCATGTGTCAGTGTTGCAGTATCCGTCAATGTTGGCGTTAGTGTAGGCGCTAACTCGGAGTAGTGCTACACTGTAGTGCTAACGCAGTGAAGAGCTAACGCAGTGAAGAGCTAATGCATGTAGTGCTAGTGTAAGTTTAGCAATAACATTAGCGTAGAAATAAATCGTCTGCGTAGTTGTAGCAGTCAGCGTAGTGGTAACTGTTAATGTTAGCAGTAATCGGCTGCGTAGTGGTAACCATGGTAACTGTTACGTTAGCGGTAATCGTCTGCATAGTGCCTTACAGCCGCTTGTTCTTTTTGTTGCATGGTGCTTGCCTATGTCTGCGTGCGCGGTCACGATGACAACAGACAGACGTAAGTAAGCGCCAAGTCTCATCGTAGAAGTTACACACGCCAGTCGCTGTTTGGTTAGTTACTGTCCGCTAATTCTCGTCGTGTTCTGTTACGAGTGTTAGAATGTTGCGATTATGTTGCCGTGCACAATCCCCGGATGCAGAATCTACCGTGTTGCGTTCGTCGTTTATGGCGCGTTTTATTTTGGAGCCCAAGTAGGTAGAGGGATGGGTGAGGATTGCGGTGTCTTTTGAGGTGATCATGTGTGCGTGCATGAGTGTGTAAGTGCGTGAGTGCGTGAGTGTGTGAGTGCGTGCGTGCGTGCCTGTGCGAGTGCGTGCGTGGCGTGTGTTCCCCCGCTCAGCCCCACCCATCAGTCATCATTTGCATACGTTCACACACCAGGCTGTGAGTGACGTCAGGTGTGCGTGTGTGCGTCCGTCCGTGCGTGCGTGCGTGTGTTCCCACTCAGCCCCGCTCATTGCTCATCGCTCTTCGTTCACATCAGGCTGTGAGCGACGTCAGGTGTATGTGTGTGTGGGAGGGGCGTGCGTGTGTGTGTGTGCGTGCGTGCGTGCGTGCGTGCGTGCGTGTGTGTGCATGCGAGCGTGTGTTCCCCCTGTTCAGCCCCGCTCATCGCTCTTCGTTTGCATCAGGCTGTGAGCGACGTCGCGTCGGATGATGCTCGCCGGGAGGCGCGGCGGATGGAAGCGGAGCTACAGAGCACTAGGCAGGCGCGCGAGGAGATCGAGCAGAAATACAAGTAAGCACTGAGAAAGTACTGAGAAATACAAGTAAGAAATACAAGCAAGCACTGAAAAAGTGCTGAGAAATACAAGTAATACTAAGAAATACAAGTAAGAAATACAAGCAAGCACTGGAAAAGTACTGAGAAATACAAGTAAGCACTGAGAAAGTACTGAGAAATACAAATAAGAAATACACTGAGAAATGAAATACAAGTAAGCATTGAGAAAGTACTGAGAAATACAAGTAAGCACCGAGAAAGTACTGAGAAATACAAATAAGAAATACACTGAGAAATGAAATACAAGTAAGCATTGAGAAAGTACTGAGAAATACAAGTAATACTGAGAAATACAAATAAGAAATACACTGAGAAATACAAGTAAGCACTGAAAAAGTACTGAGAAATACAAGTAATACTGAGAAATACAAATAAGAAATACACTGAGAAATGAAATACAAGTAAGCATTGAGAAAGTACTGAGAAATACAAGTAATACTGAGAAATACAAATAAGAAATACAAGCAAGCACTGAAAAGGTACTGAGAAATACAAGTAGTACTGAGAAATACAAATAAAAAATACA